ATAATATACTGGCGAGTAATTTAGAGGAATATCATTACCGAACGATTTCTCTTTTTCTTTTCGTTCTATTCTGCACAACAGTTTAGTATTTCACGAGGATGGTTAGTAATAATTGAATGATTGACATTTGGATATGACATTATCCAATCTAAAAAAAATAATCTATCGCATTTGGATCTTTCTGGAAACTATCGTGACAAAAATAGTAGATTATGTAATATAAACATACGAGTATATAATATATAAAGTATAGTTTACAGAAATGAAAAAAAATATTAATGATCGTTTATAGGATCTGGGTTAATAGTGTCATGAAAGCAAATAAAATTAGATGAGATAATCAACTTTGGATTCTTCAATATTGGATTATTCAATATTGGAAAATATTACGTATAAAACGGCAATTTATTTATGGGAGAATATTTTATTACAATAAATATGTGATGTCGATTATAGGTAAAACGCCTAAAAAAAAAAACATTTCTTGTAGCGTTTGTCTGCAATTTTTATGAATAGTATTGCACATCTCGGCCTTCGGAGGTTAATAAAAATAATCGGTGTCCAAGAATTCCATATTTCGTAACAATCCCCGCGAGCTTTATTACGGCGAATGTCGGTTGTTAGTCGACTCTATTAAAATTCCCAGCGGTAGTAAAGAGTATTTCGGCCGATGTTACACGAAGCTAGAACGTTATCTCCTGTAAACGTCACTTATGTCCACTTATGTCTTCAACGTCTCTTACAAATTACGCTCGTTACAAAAACGCTGTTAACAAATGCTCAGCTCCTTATATCGTTATCTTGTAATTCTTTTTAAATTCTCAGGATTAATAACTTATTAATTATTTCTTTTATCACAAAAAACTCATTTCTATTTATATCTCGTTGTAATCGTAATCTCATTTATTTTTAATTGTTTTTCCGACATTTAAATAATCGATTAACATTGCACGCCCACGTAAGCAATGTTTTATAAATTAAGTTTTTTTTGAATTATATTTATACTTCACGTAACATACATACATACAAAAAAATTATCGTAACATACACAGAAAAAAAATTACCGTAAAAAAAATTACCGTGCGCGTAAATAGCTAGATAAGATATCGTCTTCCTCGAACGGGCGTCGGATGGAATATTTTTTCAACGCTCCGGAGCGCAAACGTGTCGCGCGGAAAATCATGCGGAAAGAAGTGACTATCGTACTCGTAGCGTTACCACTTTACTGATTCTTCCTGAGCGAGAGAAAGAGAGAGAGAGAGAGAGACTCCGGGAGGATCGCGAATACCGAAAGAATGGCGACAAGAACGATCGCGAACGGACGCAGTCTATTTTCCGCGCTGTTGCGCCGAAAGCGGGTCGCCGAGCTGCGAAGACGTAAGAAAACAAAGAACAATTCCGGCGCGCAATCGGGAGAATATTTATTCCATTCGAACGAGACAGACATTCGAACGACATTCTTGCACGGTCATTAGATAACATTTTTCTTAATCCCGGTTGAATTATGTACGGAAAAGTAAAACGAACTAGATTTTCAAGGAAAAAATCCGACCGAACTTTCGAGATGTAGATATTAACTGCAACTAAATCGGTATATTGAGAATGATCGTAATATAATAATACTTAAATAATTTATTATTTTCTCCATAGAAAAATTATTAGTATAAAATATGTATATGTATATGTTTATATTCTATTGAATAAAATTCGAGAAAAAGCTATCGTATTAAAAAGTAATACACGAATGATAAATATACTTTAATAGACATAAATTTATTCAAATCTTTTATTTCTTTTCTACGTGAATTAATTCCAGATTAATTAATTCTTTATTTAAAAATATTCGTTATTTAATTGGCCTAATTATTATTTAAATGTTTACAGGATAAAGAAAATAATCTATTTTTTTCGAGAATTTTATACGTGGAAGCTGCTTAAATACATCAGTATAAAAAGCTATTTTGGTAAAGGCGCTTTGTAATAATATTTTTCCGCTCTGTACATGAAGTTATTTCCAACAAGCTGAATTATGCAAATATTCTTTTTGGCCACTGATATATCTTTGGAACAACGTAATTAACATAAACTTAATTCGCGTTTGCTTACTTAAAGTACGTATATGGAAAGTTCGTCCGGAACGGGAAGCAATTTCCCTTATTAATTGCTGAATTCAAAGTGGTTCTCATAAAAGAGCTAATTATAGACATCGTTAAGCTGATTTAGTGCGGATAAAATTCCTCCTGGTTTGTTCCGGCTTGGCGTCAATATGAAAATTCTTTAGAAAACGCGGGAAGTCGCGCGACATCAAGTTCAACTGGACGGCTAATCATCGAGAGACAAATTTGACGCGTAAACTCGCTCGTTCGCTCGCTCGCGAATTCGCGCCGGCGTTTTTCTTCCTTCCGGGACTTTCTTCTCATTTCTATTTGTGAACAGAAGGGGGAAGAGAGGACCGATGGTTTCACCGCATAACTCGTTTTTCTGCAAACGGTAATGTGCCCCCTCGAGCGCGTTACAAATACGTTTAACAATCATCGATTGAAATATCAGGTATATTCCGTCGAGCGAAAGAAGGAAACGTGGTAAGATCGGAAATGTTTCATCGCGTGAAAACTATGTTTTTATATATATATATATATATATATATATATATATATATAGTGTATAATAAAATAAAATATATATAAAGAAAAAAATATAAGTTTTATATTTAATATATTTACAACACATGCGATTTCCCAGACAGCACGTTACCGCGGCTATGGTTAAATATTTATCCATCTATAGTATTATAGATATAAAATTCATGGATGTTAGAAAGAGGGGCAGGAATTGACTGGCGGAAGTAATTTTGTTGAATATGCATCAACTATCTCGCTCCCCCATATATCTTATAACGCGATCATTCGTTTCATAATTCACGAGAAATCTGACGTATAAATGTTGTAGTCTCCTAATAGAAAAAAAAAATATATATATATATGTATGTATAAAAGTTACGTGAGCGAACGTTCGACATGATGATATTGGAAAGTATCTAACAGCTTTAATTGAAGCCTCGAGTATTGCTTTACTTTATGCAAGAATATAAAATTAGAGGAAAGGGAAATCTTTATATACGTTTTCATATATATTTTTCAACGAGACGCACATGTCACGTTCAAGTGGGCGCGCAAACATATATTTGCTTTTTAGAGAAGTCGTTTTTCCAAGTTTGATAACGCCCGTTATCAAGTCATATCATTAAACAAGACCGGAAAGGTTCATTTACACTGTTGCAATTCTAGAGTCATGCAAATAATGTAGTAATGTGCAAATTCTGTGTTTATACATGCAAAGCGGGCCAATTTTCTCGTGTTTCGACATCCGTTAGTAAATGGCTGTAATCTATTCCACAAAGTATATACGTTTTCGAAATAATAATATAGAAATACAAATTTCTCGCTCGAAAAATTCCCCCCTCCATATTAGCCCCATATTAGCTTTCCGCTCGGAATCCATCACATTTATCGGTTTCGTTGATACAAAGTGCGGGATGTGATATATATTTTTTTAGTATGAGGCGTGATAAAATCCCGGGCGATGCGCTCGCCGCAAAATTAAGCTGTAAAAATGGCCAGGCGCGTAAGCGTATTCATACGGAAGACATTAAGTCAGGAAAGAAATTTGTATTTGGCCGTTACACGCGAGAGCCCGATTTACATGGATGTAATTATGCGCGATCGACAAAATAGGGCGGGTAAATCGTATTACGCAAGTGGCAGTCGCCGTAACGCGATTTGATACACATGCGGAAATGCTAATTGAATTTCTTGATTAGAATATCCCGGCTGTAATCCGTAATATCTGCGGGAAAGTAGAATTCGATTAACGCGATTCCGTTGTAAGCGACGGAACGTATTTATGTCGCCATGAAACCCATATCTCACGGTCCCGTTGAGTTGATCCGTTCAATTAATCGGACGTAGAAAAAAAAAAATGGGGAAAAAATGAAACGCAAATTTCCCTCCGTCATTATGCTCATTGTCAATACGCCGCGGCAAAATAATACATTTTCATGTGCGACGGAACACCATTATTGGAACTCCTGCATTATTGTATATCCACACGAGTATGCGAATTATGCCAGTCGCGTGACCGTTTCGAAACGAACGTCGCGCCGATAATGCGGTGACATTCGCAAATCTCGACTGACCATGCAAACGCGGGAATCTCCGCTTGTGGATGAGAACGTCCGTTTCCATCGTGCTACTCGAAAGCCTGAATTAACAATTCATTTGTCCATGCATGGAGTTGCGAAAGCATCGCGATAAGATGTTTTATTTAAAGGGTCAAAGCATATTTTAGAAACGGCCGGTCGGCAGTGTTCCATCTAAGAACATGAACACGTATATAAACCGACATAGCATTCAGGCTAAGAATGCAAAATTCAGAATTAAAAATACAACGTCGGTTGCGCGAAGATCCTTCGTGCCCGGATAAATTTAACAATTCCGGAAAGGAATACTGAAATCGCCGGTGAGAAGACGTCTCGAAGCGCATTCAGCTCGCGTAAAAATAGCGCAGGCACTCACGTATTCGCACGGTTCTTGGCAAACCATTGTCAAGGCCTTAACTACCAACTTTCCAGTGACGCTGCAGCCGAGTCTTTTCGCCACGGTTGATAAAATCGGTGATAATAACACCCACGGCGGCAAATTACATACGTCCGGTGATAGCCGCTTAACATAACAATCCGAGACTACGTATCGGCACGCTAATCGACCGATGACTTTTCAACTCTCCTTCCGAAGAATAAGAGACTTCCCGACTTTCTTCGCATCTATCATTAACCGAACGTTGATATATTCGGACGGAGAGGCGCGACTCGATCGGGGGAAACGACCCGGCGAAGCCGGGACGATTTATCGACCGATCGTGGATTTAATCGCGAAAAAAAAAAAGGAAAAGTTAATTAGAATCGTGCAGATGCCTTCCTTCCGGCGAGTGCAATTATGGCGGCGTTTCACCCGAAACCCGCTTCTTCCGCATCGCCGGCCGTCGTCGGATGCATTTTTCTCGAAGTAGCCGGCGCTCGCGCTGAATAACGATAGGGACTTTAATGACTTTTGTCGCTTCCGAATTAGGAGGATCAGCCGGTGCCGTGGTGGCGTCTAGACTGAGCGACATACCCGAATGGAAAGTTTTGTTGCTAGAAGCCGGCCCCGACGAGCCACCGGGTGCCCAGGTTCCCAGTATGGTGGCGATGTTTCTGGGTAAGTTTCAATTGGACTTTGCCATATACAAAGCGTTTCCGTTATCTACACCACGTTGAAAACCTCGCCGATGATGAGCATTCAGCTGCAGACAATTTACATTTATCATTTTACACTTATTACTTATATTTCACATCTGAAATCAGTTTTGATTTTTTTTTTTTTTTTTTTCGTTGAATACGGGACTGATCGATTTCAAAATTGATTGTCGACTTATTATGAAGGGAAGAAATCCCCAAACTTTGAGCGGGCTACGTTGCAAGTTCGGTAATTTAATAACGCGTAGTTCGCGATATATAAGTACTATATTTGCCTTGAAATTATATATTCAAAAATAAATAAAAAATAATTCGACACTGACCCTGTCCGCCGATTAATGCTATCTATGTTCCGCTTGATTTTTTTCTCTCCATTCTCGTTCGACATCGAGTAACTTAACTGAAGTACAAAATGGGCGAAAGCTTTTCATGCTTAATTCATTTTGACTCGATTTTCCACCGTGGAATATCAATCCTTCGTCAATTTTAACGTTCGTTAATTATGCCGTAAAATTAAATTTGGCGTCTGCTTAAAATTCGAAAAGAGCTGATACATTATCATTTATTAGCATCTTTGAAGCTTAATTTTGGAATTAAACCCGTGTTTAATTCTATGATCATTATTCTCCCAATAATTTTATCAGGAGGGGATCGATATCAAGTTTTAATTAAAATAAAATCTGTGGAGATATGAAAAAGAAAAAAAAAAATCGATACGGCTTGAGATATTCACGCGGGTCGGGAATATAACGCGAGGAAATCGTATCGCTTTCATTTGAAGCACGAGAGTTGCATTTCGAGCACCTGCGAGAGGAAATTGTTGCAGTGCTCATCTGGAATCTATATTATTGCGAGGGCTGTTACGATCCGTTGCGGGCTTTACGCATGTTAAACGATCTGACAATTTTGCCGATAGGAACTGACATTGACTGGCAGTATCAAACCACGAACGAGATGAACGCTTGTCTGTCAACCAACGGGTCCTGCAGTTGGCCGCGCGGTAAAAATCTCGGCGGGACGTCCGTCCACAATGGTATGATGTATAACCGGGGCCACCCGAAAGATTTTGACAATTGGGCGGCCATGGGCAATCACGGATGGAGCTGGCGTGATGTAAGATCCCATAAATCTGTCTGCCCCCGGCTATTTCGGGTACTCCGAATAGTCCTAAATATGAGTAATTGATTTTGTACCCGTAGATAGGCGACACCGATCTAAATCGTTTTCAGAAACCCATTTCGGAACCCGGCGGAAGTCGCGGTCTCCGGTGAGACAGTCCGTATATCTTTTATGGGAAATAACTCTTACAACACCGCCTCAATATACTCGTTCGGTCATAACATATCGAGCTAATAAAAAGCGCTATAAAGTATAAATTATAGTAACATTAGCATACGTCCTATTCCCATGATATTGCGAGTCTCAAGCGGTTTTATAAAACAAGAATCTAAGAGGGAAGAAAGTTGCGTCGTGTGTACTTTCGAAAATCGATCGCTGAAAGTTTTCCGGGACGCCTCGAAGAGAGATCGGGTACGAAAAGGGAATTCCGGTAATGTCTGACCTCTCTTATTTAGGTTCTGCCGTACTTTATGTGCTCGGAGAACAATACAGAGATCCACCGAGTCGGTCGCAAGTACCATGGGACCGGTGGTATGTTAACCGTCGAACGGTTCCCGTGGAAGCCTCCGATAGCGAACGACATCCTCGATGCGGCGGCCGAAAGAGGATATCCGATTAGCGAGGACCTGAATGGAGATCAGTTTACGGGATTTACCGTGGCTCAAACCACAAGTAGAGACGGTGTTCGAGTGAGCAGCGCCTCGGCGTTCATCCGACCGATACGAAAACGGAAGAATTTGAATGTCGCTCTGAATGCCACCGCCACGAAGATCATCATCGAAAATGGCAAAGCCGTTGGAGTCCAATATTATCAAGTCAGTACACTAATATTGTTATTAATATATAAAAAAAAACACTAACATTCATATCGTCTCAACACGACACTGGAAATTTTTATCCTATTATTTTATTAATTTTTAATTTAATAATTCATTAATATTTGTACATTACGTATTTAAAATTTTAGATGACATGGGATGACATTTCCGGTGCAATTTTTCGTAGATATGACGTCATAGATTAACAAATGTGCCTTCTCTAAATTGTTGTATCATTGTAGCGATATTATCTATGAATTTATTCTCAAATATTCGTCGAGGATCATACAACTATACCTATACATATAAATTTTTATGAATATCGTCCGATATTCTGTTTGTCACGATATCGCGAGCAGGAGGTTTTTATCCGGCCGAAAGTTACAGAGAAATCCGCTGCAGCTTTTATTAATACACTGAGCGCGTTACGCTTGAAAAATCTATATTATGCACGAGTGAAAATTTGTCGAGGGTCTTATTTTATTTTTATTGTTTCGCCTATATTAAGATATAACGCTCTAGTAACCATGCACAAAAGTCACACGATGCAGAGTCATTTTCATCGGACATTAAAAATGCTTAGTTTTTTTTTTTTCCTCTCGTTCGTTGAGGTTACAAGTTTTTCATGGATAAATCAATAATTATATAATGGCTGATAGCTCATGCGCAAATATCACGTAATAGATTCACACACATGGATGTTAAGAAGATAATTTTTATCACGCTGAAGTTATAAGTTTTTCATGTGCAAACCAATAATTATATAATGGTTAATAACTCATGCGTGAATATAGCGTAATAGAGTCACTTTCATGGCTATTAAAAAGATAACTTTTATCTTGCTCGCATAGTTTGCTGCATTTACGAGTTTTTCATATGCAAACATCGATAATCAGTTTACCGCAGTGTCATCAATATCGACGTCATTAAAAATCTGAAAACGAGTTACAAAAGTTACATTTAACGCAGCTTGATTTTGACTGTTTTCATATTAATTGCGACGCGACTAATTGCAAATCGAATCCCGTGAAATGTTGATATATTGTTGAAAGTATACATAAATACGGCAATATCGCGCGGCATCAGGGAACTTTGCTTTTCGCCGGGGCGGTTACCGGCACTTAGAACGCGAAATCAAGTTCGCGCTCTAAAGCGCGTCAGTTTGGTGATGTGAGTTTCAATGAACGCATCTTCAGGATGGTGAACTTCGAGTTGCCCGCGCCACAAAGGAGGTAATCGCCTCCGGTGGTGCCGTAAATTCGCCTCAACTGTTGCTACTCTCCGGAATCGGGCCGAAGGAACATCTGCAGGCGGTGAACGTCACAGTCGTCAGGGATCTCCCAGGTAAGCAGTACGTTCATCGTGTGTAAGGTCATTACGAATACAGCGATCTATCTATCCCGGAGAGACAGTAATCCTCCGACGGAATTTAGCACAATTTACCGATAACGCACGAAAGTTTCTTCGATTCGATTCGCAATTCTGCGAATTACGAGATGATTAACGAAGGGTCTCGGGAAGTAGAATTTCCGTGCCGTTGAAAGAGAAAATCGAGGCAAAAGAAAAATAAATAATCCTTTGATTCTTTTTAGTGTTTTATTTAAAATACTAGATCGAGATTAATCTTCGCGGATATATTAATTACGAAAGGCACAGAGTTTTCGATCTTATCGAACGAATAACTAGCTGAAAGCGAGCATCGAATCGATCGGATCGAGGAATTTACGTCAATGTCGATAACCGCGTTTTTAATTGGGCCATTTTGCTCCAGGTGTTGGGCAGAACCTACATAATCACGCGTCGTATACCTTATCGTGGACCACCAATCAGCCGAACCTGTTCGATCTAACCTGGGCGTCCGCCGCGGAATACATCGCCTTCCAGAAGGGACCGATGGCGTCGACGGGTCTATCGCAATTGACCGGGATGCTACCGTCGATCTACACAACCCCGGACCACCCCGACATTCAGATATTCTTCGGCGGTTATCAGGCCGCCTGCGCGACCACTGGCGAAGTAGGTGCCCTCATGAATAACAACGGCCGCAGTATCAGCATGTCGCCGACGATGACGCATCCGCGTAGCAAAGGTAAGCGATAATCGTAAATTAACCCGGAATACCGGACTTCCGAACAAAAAAAAGTGAGTCAATTGCGATGAATTTATCATCGATCGCGGCCACGCCGTTCCAAAATTTCAAATTCGTAATTTAAATAAACGCGGAAACGATGGGGCTGGTTCATCCACCAAAATTTTTGCAAATTGATTAATCAATGCTCTCGCGTCGCATCTCGGTGGTCCGTAAAATTCCGACGAATTTTGACAATAGTCAATATAGCACATCAGCTTCGTCATAATTTAATTCGTCGGTGAACGAATTTGGTTACAGGAAGGTTACTTCTCGCTAGTAACAATCCTCTCGAGAAGCCGATCATCTGGGGCAACTACCTGAGCGATCCTATGGACGTGGCGGTCCTCGTGGAGGGCATCGAGATCGCGCTGTCGCTCGCCAATACCAGTGCCATGGCCAAGTACAACATGACTTTAAACCACAGCCCGTTGCAAGCGTGCTCTCAGTATGCCTTCATGAGCCAGGAATATTGGGCCTGTGCCGTGCGCCAGGACACCGGCCCGGAAAATCATCAGGCAGGTTCCTGCAAGATGGGCCCGCACGACGATCCCATGGCTGTGGTAGACAATCGATTGAGGGTATACGGCATCAGGAATCTTCGCGTGGCCGATGCATCTATTATGCCGCAGGTTGGTATCTTCCGGCGATCGTGTGGGAATATTTTGAGCATAGATATGTTTCTCTTTTTCCTCTTTATATTTTCTACAGTATAAATACTTCTCCAACCAAAATGAACTCGCTGAATGATATTCAAATTTTCTTTTTGCGATGACTCCCATTTGTGATTTAATCATCCGTTGGGATTTCCTGTTACGTAAAGACAATCTATAATTCGACAGAGATAATTTTATTTATAATCTCATGCGCTGTGAATTATGAAAAACAATTGGAGAATTAGAATTATGTAAAAATGTGAAATACGAATTAATGCACAGCGTAAAAATGAGAGAGGAAAAATTTCTGTTTCTTAGAATCTGATGGGAATTGTAGACATCGTAAATATCGTAAAAGACTGTGATATGATCGTGAAAGATCATAGAATTACAAAGCGGAATTACAAAGCGAACAAATTAAATTTTGTATGAGAATGCTAATAGTGATAGTAATCCGTGTATTTTCTACCGTTTTTTTTTTTTTTTTTGTTCCAGTTCAATACCTCAATATAAACTTTATCATATTTTATATAATTTCAAAAAAAAAAAAAAAATCTCGTTATAAGATTCTTTTACACTCTAATTTGCGAGAATTAAGAAAGAAGATACAGAACGCGAATGTGGCATTGTCTTTTAAGGTAACGTCCAGCAACACGGCGGCCCCGTCCATGATGATTGGCGAAAAGGCGGCCGCGTTCATCAAGTCCGACTGGGGCGCTGCCGGTACACAATGGTACGGGAAAGAACCTTGCCCCATATGGAATCACAACCACAATCATCATTGGAACCACCAATAGTCACCAGCAATTTACCATGTTTCCTAGTTCACGCACGACAATCGACAGTACGCTGGACCTGTTACTTTGGGGGATCAAGTACATCGACTGGGATCAGGCTATATGGTAGCCGGGCTCCACGATCTATCTAGTCTCTTATCGCATCCATCAATGCGTTTTCCGCAGCCTAAGAAAGTCGGCGAGAACGCGACCAAAGGCGAGGACTCTGGAAGATCCCCGATAGGCTGCGAGTTCCTTTCTCCTCGGTATGGCCGCGCGATCAAGCCGGCCCTGGCATCTCGCTCGATCGCTCGAGCGCTACGTTTAGACTCGGAATTATGCCACAATGTGCAATTATTGTTACTAAGTGTAGAAAGCCGTGCGACTGAGGAGTCAGTCGTCGTCTCACTGCACCGCCATGTCTTAATTTCCATTTAGGAATTTCCTAAGATAAGATTGCGCGCATCGTGGGCGGCGCGGCTGTCGCGAGATCTATCGATCGTCGATGCCGATGAGCGCAAATCTCCGTACAATTTATGGGTATTGTTACTATTATCGTTAACTCCTTAAACAAAGCTACAATTTCCTATTGTTTAGTTATTGTACTGCACCAAGTTTAGAATTATGAAAAAATTTAGATGTATATATTATGCTAATAATCTCTTTTGATTATCGCGTTTCGTAGTAGCTTTTCAATAGCCGTGGCATATAATATATCACCCATCACATGGATGTCCTATTGAAATGATGACCAAAGACAGATTCTGGTATCTGGTTATATCAACCGCCAAAAAATATAGTAATTAATTGTTAACAGAGAAATATGTAAAAAAAATGAAATGAATTATAAATATGGATAGCTCGATCGCTCGCAGAGTGTCCGAGTGTAAATCAAAATATTGTAAATAAACAAGATTGCATAATAGCAAATATCAAATATGGAACATCCGCTTGTACCCGTTTCCGATGATCCGCTCCTACAACACTATTATGAATCGCGTTTACATAAATAAACTCAACAATCGGGGAAAACAATAGTGAGACAAATCGATCGATATAAGCATGTAGTTCTATTTTTTAAAAAAGCATACAAAATGAGTCATCTAATATTAGAATCTAAAATATCTTCATTAATTTTAATGATACGAGAAAATGTGTACGGAAGAATTTATTTGCTTCGAAGAGATAAATATTATTATGAATAAAATATTTCTTTTTAAATTTTTGAAATTTTAAAATCAGCAATTTTTTTAAATAGAACAATATCTTATTTTCTTTGAAGCAATTACGTATTTTGCACTAATTGATTATCTTGTACATAAAAATATTAAAGTACGATTATAAAAAATAAATAATTTATTTGAGATATTTTATATTCTATGTCAGAATAAAGTAAAATATTTCGTGAACTATTAACTTTCTGTTAACTGTACCTTAATATTTTTTATTCAGAATAACAAAAGAAATTGTATTATGTAACAAAAAAATATATGTTCCATTTATAAAAATGATAACCATAAAAAAATCTCGACAGTGGCCCCATGTGAGAATCAATCATAATCATGATCATGTAAGCTTCTTGAAATGCGACAACTTTTGTTCGACCTATTTTTTTGTGAATTCATTTACTTCATTTTCAAGACAAGTCCTCATTAAAGTAGGATAATATACAAAGCAATCTGAACAATCTAAAAACTTCAATCATGAAGTCAAGCATTAATAAATTAATGTTTCACGTGTTACGTAAGCTCCTACTTCAATTTCCGGAATGCAAATCTAGAATTCAACGGAAACGCATTTCGTAGTAACGCACGGTTTATCTATTTTATTTGTGCCATTTTAGTGACAGATTGTCCATCATTTTTTCGAAATGATAGCACGCAGTGATTTACAAGTATGACAAGCATGGGTATTATAACAAGCGCCGTTATTATCGTTTTTATGTTATGTACGTTGTGCACTTAATCACAGCTAGACATTTCGCGGAACATTTCGTGCATATGCATATACGCGAAACGAATATATATAACAAAGCGACAACAAAACGGACACCGTAATCAGTGAGCGAACGCCGAGCGAAACAAACAGTTCTCCTTACGACGACTGCATTGCACGAAAAATGGTACGTTCCTATATATCCTGCGAATATTGCGCTTATTGTCAATTGCATCAGATGCAAAGTGTTTGATAAAAAAAAAAAAAAAGTGAATACTCAAAGGAGGATATATTAAAAAGGACGAAATCAATTTTGAAATTTTTTAAACGATTCATAGTTACAAAAGCTAATTAAAGAAACTCAGCCCCGATACAATAAGACATCAAATAATCTCCCGCGACATTGACCGAAACTTTTTTTTCCAATTTATTATGAAATATACATTAATATATATATATATATATATATATATATATATATATATATATATATATATGTGTAGTGTGTATTTTTAATAAAATAATGTTCGTCTACCGTAATTAATTTCTCTAAAATTATTAAAATTTTGCAGAATTCTATAAAGTTAATCGTAGATATTATACAACAAATAAATGTGTTAAATGTGTTTAAATGTGTTAAATCATGTTAAATCTCCGTAGATTATTGCGCTATTCATGATTTAATTGGGAGTAAAGTGATTTTGCAACAGCGATGATCGCAATATTCACGAAATAACGGAGCGTCGTTCTACGGTTTATATCGGCGTATAAAATCGAGATCAACATTTTTAACTGCGATACATCCAGTCGTGCGAACTATGTGTTATGCGGTATTATAGAACATACCGGGGTCCCAGGTACCACAAGCACCGTGTTCGTCGCCCTTCGTAGGCGGGCCTTCGTTGACCGACGTCTGCGACGCTAATTCCGCTACTTTGTTTCTGGCTATGTTGAACACGTTGTGTACGTACAACACAATAATTAACGGTGTGTGCGAGCGAATCAGGCCCATCAAGAAACCGCAGCTTAGTTACGACTTCATTGTCGTTGGAGGTAAGATCAATACACGTAATGGGCTATCACGATCCACCTTACCTGGCAATTTAACAAAACATTCCGCAAAATTATGTTCACCGAAGATGCACGCGAGATTAACTACGCGAACCCTTCAGCTTTCATTCGTACAAATCGTATCGACTCAACGAGTTAAATATACGACGAGTTAACTAATTTTCTTTATTTTTGAGCGATCGAATGTTTATTGTTTAAAGTTACAGCTGCGTCTTTTATCGTTGTTCCATTCAGGTGGTGCAGCAGGATCGGTCGTGGCCGCTAGACTGAGCGAAATTGAAAACTGGAGTGTGCTGCTTGTGGAAGCTGGACCGGACGAGATAGCTGGCATGCAAATACCGAGTCACCTTCAGCTCTACCTCAGTAATTTATATTTATGTCTTTCTAATCATTAAACTTAACGATCAGTAATTTACATTTATGTCTTTCTAATCATTAAACTTAACGATCAGTAATTTATATCTATATCTTTCTAATCATTAAACTTAATGTACGATGTAATCATTAATGCGATTAATTTCAATTGCGCTCACAAATGCAGACACCGATCTGGACTGGCGATATAAAACTACGAATGAATCGTACGCCTGCCTGAAATATAACGGTAGCTGCAGCTGGCCCAGAGGTAAAAATCTCGGCGGGTGCACCACCCATCATGGTATGGCATACCATCGAGGACACGCGAAAGATTATGACAGATGGGAAGAGATGGGAAACGAGGGATGGTCATGGCAAGATGTACGAAGCAAGAAAAGATTATTGTCAAGATCGTAATATAACATAGGGTATTGTTAATATTTTAATTTTCTTTTCTTGTCTTCTCTCTTCTCTCTCTCTCT